TTGTGATTTACATAAATGTTCCATATTTAATTGATCCCTCTAAATGATCATTTGATTGTTCCTGCTATTCCCCTGTTGGAGATGCTGCAACAAACATCCTTGAAGGTGCTTCTTGTGCCCTGTCTGCTCCTCAAAATGGTGACTGAGGTCATGTAAGAAAGTAGTTGTTCTGCAGTATCTAAATGGCATGGTGTATGTATAAACACTGTTGGGTGAAATGGTCTCAAACTGGGTGTTCTATAGAAGACTGCTAGTGCGAGAGACGTGTTGACTGCCTTGTAGCTCCGTCTCGGTCAGGATATGGGCTTCATTTGTCAGTATGGCTCTTCCCAAGTTGTCTTTGTTGTCCATTTCAAACGTACTTTGAAATTATTAATTGGCTATCTGGCTCCTCCCGGGAGTAAATGTTGGCTTTATGGGAATAAATAAACGTGTGTTCACAATTTTTTAATAGGCGGTGCATCTTTCTACATGGATAGGATTTTGTGGCTGGCCAAATACACTTCATCATCTTTTTCATCAGTTTTAGTTCAACTTTTTCAAGTGGTTTTAATGAAGCTCAATTTTGAATCAGAAAATTACAAATTGGAAAGCTATGACTCAAAAGATTATGAATCAAAAGGCTATAACTCAGAAAGCCATAAATTAAAAGGTATTTAAATAATTTTTTCTCCTTTTTCCGCTAAATAATGCTTTCAAGGTGGAGAAAACCCTTTGCTTTTTCTTCTGAAGTGCTTCCCCTCTGTTTCTCCTCTGTGTCTCAGTGCTGACTTTCTCCTGGCTGCGGTCTGGGGATCTCTTCATTGCTGAACTTGCAGCAATGTGTCTGTATGGAGTTCAGTGTCCTGAAAGTTGATCACTCTTTAAATAATCTCATAGTTATTTTTCAGATAAAAAGTTAATACATTCAACTTCTGATTTTTAAAATTTTACTTGTTTAAAGCAAAAACCACTTATTTGAATGGTATTTAAAGCCACTTTGTTTCAGAGGTTTTAAGCAATCCAATCCCTGTGTTGTATTGACTGTGTGTATTATTAGCCTGGTAGGGCTTTAATATCTTTTCTCATAACCCAAGCCCCATCACATGTATTCACCTCATTGTGGGAGCCATTAGCTATTCTGAAACTCTTTAGAAGCAGCTAGCATGGCACGTTCTCTTATTGCGCTGGTGTCACTGAGGTGTATGAAGCATATGAGCTCAGCATTGGTGATTTTTCTAAGCCTCTTTTGCGTGTATTGCAGCTCATCCCAGGTACTATGGGAGAATGAATGTAAGAGAGTTTCTCAGAGAGGATGGCCACCTCAGTGTAAATGGGGAATCGCTGTGTAAGTATGGCTTCATTTTACATGTGAAACGATTGGTCTTGGAGTTAGTTTCCCGCAAGCTATATTATTGGGCCACAAATACTGCAGCATGAACACAGTTGCCCTCAGACAGGCTGTAGAACTGTCACGTAAACCCTTAATAATGGAAGCTAATAACTACAAGATTGCATTTGCCTTTATTTTTTTAATTGAGTTGTCTAGTTTTTTCCTACGTACTATTGTGCACAGGTTCAGATTGACAAGATTTGCATATTAATCTGTCCCATTAACTGCTTGTCCCAACACCCACAGGCGATGACTGCAAGGGGAGGAAGCCCCGTGAAAAACACACAGCTACCCACTTGCAGTCTTCGAGGCCACAAAGCGTGGTGGGGACCATTTGGCACATCAGTGCTTATGCAGGTTGTCTCTTGCACCTTGTTTGTTTTGTGTTTTTCATGCTTTCACAAGTGCTTTTTGTTTCTTGTTCGGTTTATGTTTGGGATTCAAGCGTCTAAAGTCTTGCTTTAAACATGGGCAAGATTCACTTCTGTGTGGAATGTTAAGTTGCAATCACAGAAGCAGAGAGTAGAATGGTGGTTATCAGTGGCTGGGTGGTGGCGGAGGGAGTTTGGAGGGATATTGATCAATGTGCACAACATTTCTACTAGACAAGAAAAATAAATGTAAAATTTCTATTGGAAAAAAATGGGCAGGAATAATGTTAAAGTACAGACTCTCGAAAAGTTTCTTTGTAGATTTATTTAGTATGCATTAAATGTATGAAAAGTAATTTATTTGAGGTGCGATTAAATGTTTAGAAAAGGCTAATTACTAATTAGCCTCCTGCAATGGAGTATTACCTTGTGAAAAAGTGCCCCTCCCCCACCAGAACTACCTCATTGCTTTAGTGATTACTATCTGTATTCTAAAGTTTACAACTAGGAAGTTAACATTAAAATAATTGAATGCTTTCCAGTTTATTCCTATACCTTTCTTGGTAAAAAAGGGTGCCTTTATATGACAGCTTTTTATTTATAATTACAAAGCTTCGGGCCAGCCAGTGGCATGAAGGTTAATGCATCGAGCCCCACATGGCTGACTGTGCAGTTGAGGTCTCAGATCCTGTGCCCAAAATCCTGAGAGGAGACTGGATGAGAAGGGATTGCAGTGTGGCCATCCCCATCGGAGGGTTATTTCTCACTTTCCCTTTCTTTCTTTCTGTCTCTCTCTGGCAAGCACATGCGCTCTGTAACAACAGAAACTAAAACAACAAAAACAATAGTCTCTTAACTGTTAACTAATAAACATAAAGCAATTGATTTTTCAAAAGATTCTCTTAATGTTACCCTGTATTTTGAGTCACATTAGAATGAATACTTTCAAGGGTCAATATTGCAAACGTTAAATTAATATGAGAGTATGACTTTTAGCAAGTACTCTTGGAAAAAAAGAGCAAAATTGATTTTTTAAAGAATTATTTTATTCTATTTTTATTATTATTTTAAAATTTGCTATAGGTCACTTGTGCTCACCAGAGAGAGAACAAGAGAGAGAGGGAAGAAAGAAAGCAAGTTGCCAGGTCTGGGACTCAAACCACTATAGGCCATATGGGAGTCCAGTGTCCCGACTACCATGCCACCTACTCGCTCTCAAAAATTTATTTCATAAGCAGTTTTCTGCATTATATAACATGTGATGTTTGATATAAGTTTATTGTGTTGTCTTCTGTCGTCCAGTGGGATCATTCCAAAATACATTTTATGGGAAATTATTAGCCTTTTAACAGTTTTCTTTTTGGCCTTAATCATTTTCTTGCCTAGAACATGTGAACTGCTGATGTCTTTGAGATTTCAGTTTACTTTGAAATATGGCATTATTTTACCAATATAAATTCTGCTAGCACCAAATGCCAATATTGATAGTGTAGCTTCCACCCTCAGCCCCTTTGTGTTTTATGATGGGTAGTGCATTTTATGTTTTAAGTTCCTGCAGGCAGAAGTGATGAAAAATATTTTTAAAGATAGGGTTTTTATTAATTTCAGTGAATATGTTTGTTTGGTTTTTTTTTCTGGAGAGGTTTTTGCTATAGGGTGCGTGCGCTCGCCAGACAGAGAGAGAAAGAAACAGAAAGTGAGAAATCACCCCTTGGGGGGATGACCATGCCGCAATTCCTTCTCCTCCGTTCTCTTTTTGGGATCTTGAGCACGCTCACATACGTGCCCGGCGTGAGTTTTAAGCCACCAGGTCAGGGATGTGAACCGCAGTCCAGTGACATAGCCATTACGCTAACTGCTGGTCCCGATTTCAGTGAATATCTTGTTGAGACTTAACATAGTTCTGTTTCTTGAGAGAGTTTTGTGAAATATGTAATGGGGAATTTCTTATTGCATTGTTAATTTGGGGCGCTGGCTCTCTGGTGTCTGTATCCGAGTGCACTCTCCGCACCTATCTTCTCTGCCATAGGTTACTTCTTGATGCAAACACTGCGAAGGCTTGGAACCGCAGGATGGGTTGTGTCCAAGACGGTGTGGTCAGTTCTTTGGTTGGCCATTGTTGCTCCAGGTGGTTATTTTGAAATTCTTTGTTGCATTCGCTCCAAAGCTTTTGTGGCAGTTAAGCACCTGCAATAAGTGATTTACCTAACCAAGTAAAAATTTCATTTTAGGTTCCCATGCTTTGATCTTTGATGTAACATATTTCATTCCTATTACTTAGAAATGCTAACATATTATACTTTGAGTTGCATGAGCATTCTTTGTTTCTCTATTGTATTGGGTTTTAAGTGAGTCTGGTTGATTAGGATGCATGGATTTGGTGTTTCCTTTCTTATGCCCTGTGTTGTGTATTTATCAGCATTATATATTGCTTGTCCTGCTGTGATGACTACCATCATATATTTCATCCCTAACTTTGTCTCTATATACCTCTGAAATGTCTATTAGCAAATTTCCTTGTGCTCCTAGTTTGGCTTTCACCAAAAACAGACTATTTAGGATCTGGTTTTTAATATAAGAACATTTCCTCAGAATTTGGTGTTTTCTCTTTTAGGAAAATCAGCCTCTGGATTGTTCTGGTGGCTAGGTGTTGGATGGTACCAGTTTGTTACTTTAATTTCTTGGCTGAATGTGTTTCTTCTTACAAGGTAAGAACATTAATACCTTAGCTTAATGTTTTTTAAGAAACAGTATTGTGTTGGGACCAGCGTAATGGCTATATCGCTGGACTCCCATGTAGTCAACCACGGTTCAAGTCCTGGACCTGGTGGCTTAAACTCACACCGAGCGCGTGTGCATGCGTATGCAAGATTTCGAGAGGAGAATGGAGGAGAAGGGATTGAAGCATGGCCATCCCCCCGGGGGGTGATTTCTTGCTTTTTGTCTCTCTGTCTCTTTCTGGTGAGCGCATGCTCCCTATAGCAAAAACCTCTCAAAAAAGAAAAAAAAAAAGAAACAGTATTGTGCCAATTGCAAGCTATTGTTTGCTTTATTCTTTTATAATGCTCTAGCTTATATTTGCATAGTGTTTTGTAGTTAGGTATATTAATGTAAAACGTTATGTTTTACAAAGTGTTTTCGTGTCCTCATTTCATTTTTTAAGCCAGCCTGTGAGATAAAAAAGGCATGTATTGTTAAGGAAAGCAGAAGTGTGTGGAGGCTAGGCCACTTGCAGGTGACACAGCATGAGAGGCCTGGTCAAGACAAGAACCTGATCCTGCGACTTCTGCCCTAGTGCAGTTCCCAGGGTACCAGGTTGCCTCAGTCAGGCTGATGAGCCAAGTGGGACAATGACTCAACTCAGGGTCTCTCAGGGCCTTTCCTGTGGCACTATCACAGTGCCTTGGAGACGGAGAGTGGATTTGTTTGATTGCTAACAAGGGTGCCATTCTACAGGAGGGTTCTTCTATAGGTATATAGTCTTTGCAGATAAAACTGACTGCATTTTTAATATTGAGGGAATATTTTATATAAAATTATTCAGAGGGGAAAAACAGAATGGAGAACCTTCCTTTTACTTTTTCTAAGTTAAGTATTTCAATTTTTATTTTCAGGTGCCTTCGCAATATTTGCAAGTTTTTAATCTTGCTCATTCCACTGTTACTTTTACTTGGTAAGTAAAATTTGCCTCAGCTGCCATGTATGGTTAATATATACCCATATTTACATATATGTATATAAATTTATTTTTGAAAAAAATTGAGCATTTAAATACATCTCTGAAAAGCAATATATGTACATGTGTGACATGTGTATAATTTTTTTTTTCTCCTTCAAGGTGCAGGTCTCTACTTATGGGGTCAGGGTGATTTCTTTTCATTCCTGCCTCTGTTAAACTGGACAAACGTGCATACAACACAGAGAGTAAATGACCCCCGAAACATATTTAAACCTGAAACTTCTCACCTGCACCAACCTCTCCAGGTAACTAGTTAGAAAATGCTCTTAACTGGTTTTGCAGATACAGTCATGTATTGCTTAATGATGGGGATACGTTCTACGAAGTGTGTTGTTAGGTAATTTTGTCATGGTGTGAACGTCGTAGAGTGTACTTACACAGACTTAGGTGGTGTAGCCTACTGCACAGCTAGGCCGTATGGTATGAGCTGTGACACCTTTCTATATACTGTCCTTCATTGACTAAACCGTCTTTATGTGGAACCTGAGTATTTTTTAGAGTAAATTTTTGTTATTACTTGTGAATAGAGTCAAGGTGCCTTGCTTTAGTTTTTTTTTTTTTAGAGAAATTTTTGTTATAGGCTGAGTATGCTCGCTGGCAAGAAAAGAGAGACAAAAAGTGAGAAGTCATCCCTCGGGATGACCACACTATATTCCCTTTTCCCCTATTCTTTTCTTGGGATCTAGAGCACGCATGCACGCACACATGGTCAGCATGAGTTGTTTTTTTGTTTTTTTTTTTTTTTTTTGCTCAGCGTGAGTTGTAAGCCACTGGGGTTGGGACTCAAACTGCGGTCGACTACGTGGGAGTCCAGTGACATAACTACCATGCCATCTGCTGGTCCCTAGAAAATATTTTTGAATGTTAAATAAACAAATCTCATAGCACCCTAAATATTCTGAAATAGTTAAAATAACACACATTGAAATACTCTCATTATTCAGTTAGTTTTCATTTTTAGAAAGGAACAGTATTTATTACTTTGCAAAATACAAGTATAAAAAAGAAAATGGAGACCACCATAGTTATATCACCTAAAGATAGTCATTACTAATACTTAAAGTTTTTATATATTTTTCTTTAGTGTATGTGTGTATCCTGTAGTCAGCACATTGCTGTGCTGTTATTTTGTATTCCACTCTATTCGTGACAGAATGCGTGTGTTTGCACGTGAGCATGGGAGGGAGAGGAGTAACCTCCACAGGGTCAGGTTGTTGCTATCCTCCCTCCAGTTGTCCAGCCCTTTGGTTTTTGGGCACTTGTGCATACGCCTGGCATGTTTCAGGCTGACAGGGGTGGGATTCAAACCACAGTCACCTTGTGGGATTCAGCTTTTCTCTCTCTCTTTAATTGCCAAAGGGTGTATGTAGTCACCAGAGAGAGTGAGAGAAAGAAAGAACCCCTATCAAATACCCCCAAAGGGATGTCATGCACAATCCTTTTTTCTCCATTTCTCTGTACCATCAAGAATTTAGGCATGCATGCATATGTACCCTGCATATTTTTCAAGCCATCAGAGCTGAGACTCAAACCACTCTTTGCCATGTGGGACCCAGCTTTCTATGCATAGTACTGAACCTTTGTGCTGTGGAGCTGGCCCCAGAATCAAGCTTCTCTTGAGCAGCACATTACCACTGCACCATGGAGCCAGCTTCTTGTATTATTTTACTTTTCTTTTCTTTCTTTCTTTGTTTTTTCTTTCTTTTTTTTTTTTTTTAAATAAAAAGGGCCTCACTTTGTGGCCCAGGCTGGTCTCGTACTCATGATCCTTCTGCCTCAGTCTCCCAAGTAGCCGGGACTACAGGCACATGCCACCACACTGTTTTGTTTTTGGCTTAAAGTACTTACCATCACTGGACTGCCTGGTTAGTTTCTCATTTGCTGTTTCAGGGTGGCGATCAAGCTTTACCATGGATGAATCACATGGAGCAGCAGATGGCCTCTTTGTCTGGACAGTGTCACGACCATGACAAGCAGCTCAGGGAACTGAGGGTTTTACTTCAGAAACTGCAAGTGCAGGTAGACCGGATGGATGATGGCAGTGAGGGGCTGTTGTCACTGGTTAAAGCTATGGTTGCACAGCACCTGCAGGAGGCGGGAGCAGTCGGGCCTCCAGGATCTCAGGTAACACGAAGAACTGTCCTGTTCTCCTTTTAGGGGACAGTGGGAACAGGAGAGGTGCTGCTGAGACGTGGTTGCACTTTGGGGTTTAATTGTTGGGAGCAGCGTGTACTGACAGGGAGATGGTGGGCCCAAGAAGGGGAGAGTTGGGTCTGAGTGAGATGTGCGGAAACATCTAGGAGCGAAGTCTGACGGTGGCAGGAGAAATGTGGCCCTTTGCATCTATTTCTATGAATTGTCCCTAGCCTACATTTTAAATTTTGTAAATGCTTTGAACATCATTCCATGAAAGTCTTATCTGTGCTTTTGCTGGCACGGTCAGATTGATTCGATTTGCATTTCCCTATCAGTGTTAATTTGAAAAATTTAAATTTATGATCTAAAAATGTCTCAAGATTATGAAGTAGTTAAGAACAGCTCTTACTCCATATGGAACCATAGGCCCGAATATAAATGTCTCATCTATTTGCTATTCTTACACAAAGACTGGCCAGTCTGTTTCTTTACAACCACTTTTTTCCTCCCACATTCTAGAGTGACTTAATTTAGATATTTTGGGTTTAGGATGTGTATCGCACCCTGTTGTCGCTTGAATCAGCACAGAACCCACTGTCTTCCTAGCTGTCTAAGCCACAGTACAGGCCAGACCCACTTCCCTCCTCACTAGGGTCTCATCAGCCTCTGTCTGGTCAGGTCAGTTTTGCTCTTCAGCATTGTCCACACGGAACCCAGTGGCACTTGAGGAACACACATCTGGTGACAGCCCTTTCAGGGCTCCTGGTGGGCTGTAGGGCAAAGCTTTCTTCCCCAGCCCCTCTCTGTGCTCCAGCATGCTCGCCTCTATCTGAAGCAGTCTTTCCTGGCTAGCTCTATGGACTCTGTCTCAGGTTGGATTTCACTTAGCCTGGAAATGTCCCTGACCCCGGGTCCTTGCTCCACCTCTGGGTGCCTGCTATCTTATGCTTCATGCGTAATAGGATTAATGATTGTCTCTATGATAGTTGGCTCTTGCTCGTGTTTCAGGCTGACTGGTCTAGGGACTTCAACTACAGTCACCATTTGCGATCTGAGTTCTCTTGAAGCAGCGCATTATGGCTGAGCCGTGGAGCTGGCCTGACTCCCTTAGGTTAAATCATTAAACATAGTAGATGCCTAGTAAATATTTACTGAATGAGTAGTCATTGATTTGTTTTCTAAATAAGAGTGTTTTCTGGTATTTATAGGACCTAATATTTGTGTTTAACTGGGAACAGAAATCATGCATTTTAACACAGGTTTAGGATCTTTAAAGTTTAGAGATGAAGATAAAGGACAGTACTGATTATACCTTTACGGGTGCTTTGCCAAGATATGACCAAGTAATCTCTATTTTTGTTATATTTCTACATCAAAATGACTTGACCTGATTCGCTGGGTTTTGTTGCTTAACATTACCATTTGTTCATTTGTTTGCTTTTCTAAGACTGACTTTATGACTTTTCACCAAGAACACGAAGTACGGATCTCAGGCTTGGAAGATATTCTTGGAAAACTGACAAAAAAATCTGAGGTATTTACTTTTTGTTTTCCCCTGAGATATTTATTCTTAACCTTATATTTATAGCCTCCAACAAAGTGATCTTTGTAATAAAAGAAAAATTAATTCCAGTAATGTTTTAACAAAATTCCTTGGCCATCTAATTTGCTTTCTTTTAGGGTATTTGCTGCTGTCCTTTATGAAATTGAAAAAAGCGTTTCTACCTCCTTTTCCCCTTGGGAGTTTCATTTAAATGCTTTTAGGTTTAATCTTTGTGCTGTACCAGATCCACTGTTCCCAGGACAGAGCAGGGCCGTGGATGAGAAGAGGCAGTTCTGCCAGTTTCAGACAGCCTCTGACTTCAAATCCAGCTCTTCTTGGTTTGAGAGTCCCTATTTTTCCTCAATAACAAAGTCCCCACCACGGTTGCTTGTTGTTAGATAGAGAATAAAGGATCGGAGCTTTTTGACAGACAAAAGTAAGTTTGAGAACGAAAGTCTGTTAGATGTTGGCTGAGTCAGGAAGAAGGCTGTGTCTGCACTGGTCTGAGCTAGTGAGCTCGTGGGTGCGCACGTCCCTGGTGTCTTCAGTGCTTAGCAGAGCCTCGCACGTTAGCTGTTGCTGACCCAATTCGAAACGTGATTACTAAGGATTAGCTACAGTACAGCCTTCTGGGGTCTTGAGACAGACTCCTCTGTTCCTGACCCTGGTAAAATCAGAAAAGGCCAACTGAGAGGAAGGAAAGAGGGGCCAGCCAAGGACCAGATTAAGTCCCCTGGTGAGGGGATCAAGAAGTCATTTCATTTCGTGGTTGCCTTCTCCTGTGTTGATGCTGTGACTGCCTCAAAGTCAGAGTTTGAACAGACACTATTATTTTTTTTTTGAGAGTTTTTTTCGCTATAGGGCGCGTGTGCTCGCCAGACAGAGACAGAGAGACAGAAAGCGAGAAATCACCCCCCAGGGGGATGGTCATGCCGCAATCCCTTCTCCTCCATTCTCCTCTCGGGATCTTGGGCATGCACGCACACGCGCCTGGCATGAGTTTTAAGCCACCGGGTCCAGGACGCGAACCGCGGTCGACTACATGGGAATCCAGCAACATAGCCATTACGCTAACTGCTGGTTCCCAACAGATACTGTTATTCAAGCTAGAGGGACATTGCCATCTCAGACATCTTGGAATACATATTAATACGTCATGTTTTCATGTGTAAATGTCTCTTTTTCGTGAATATATCCCCAGAAGTGATGACAGCATTCTGGTTCAGTCTTGGTGCTGGTTTCAGAAGCTGCTTATTTGTGTTTTGTTGTTGTTGTTGTTTGTTTGTCTGTGTCTTGGAGAGGTTTTTGCTTTAGGGCGCATGTGCTCACCAGAAAGAGACAGAGAGACAGAAAGCAAAAAATCACCCCCTGGGGGGATGGCCACGCTGCAATCCCTTCTCCTCCATTCTCCTCTCGGGATCTTGGGCACGCATGCACACGCACCTGGAGTGAGTTTAAGCCACCGGGTCTGGGACGTGAACTGTGGTCAACTATGTGGGAGTCCAGCGACATAACCATTACACAACTGCTGGTCCCAGAAGCTGCTTATTTGAAAATTCGTCACTTGTTCTCATGTGATTATGCACCTCTCTGAATACAAATACATCTAATGTCTTTTAAATTTTACTTTGAAAAATAAAATAAAGAGCCGTAACCTGCCACTCACCAGGCAGGTCTAGACTTTGAATTAACAGGGGAAAAGTCTCAGATAAAGGTATATAGTTTTAAGTAATCAAGTGCATGATTTTTATGAAAAGTTAGTCTATAATTTGTGCTTAAACAGATTGTTTCTCATACTTTTCAGGCTATCCAGAAGGAACTAGAACAGACCAAGTTCAGAACACTAAGGTAGGATGATTTCAATTAATTTAGCATTTTTCTCTTGTGTTTCTCTTTTGGTCTTTTTCAAGCAGCAACAATAATTAATGGGGGGGTGCTAGTGTTTGCATCCACCTGAGTGTCTCCTGAGTTAACTGGTCTTCTTGATGAAAACACTCTCCATATGTGCCTTTCTGGGAGCCCCATGGAGCCCCATGAGGACTCAGGGTCCATTCCTCTTCTCCATGCAGCATGGACAGCCTATAGTTAGTATACCACTCCCACAGCTGACCTGCCCTGTTTGACCCTCACAGCCTCACTCTGCCAGGCCACCCTCAGGGAGCAGATAGACAGTGACATGCCAGAGCTCAGGTCAGGGTGGGCTCAGTGCTTAGCCTCTGCTGGCACTGTTGGCATCTAAGTGGACACGGAGGTCAAGCTTAGCCATTGTCCCTCCTGCTCAGCAGCCCTCTCACGTGGGTAAGACATGTGCCTTCAGGACCGCACATTTCATGTTAGGCAGCTCCCACCCAAGCTATCAGTGGGTGGCCTCTCCCGGCTGCCAGCCTTTCTATACTCAAATCAGTGGTGCCTCACTGAGCCACTTCTTGGCCATCTAAACAGTTTAGATGCCAAGCAGTGCCTCAGCAGTTTCCTAGAGGTTCTGTTTTTTGGGTCCTCACTACCTGGTTGTTTTTTGGGGGGAGAGATTTTTGCTATAGGCCATGTGCACTTGCTGGAGAGACAGAGACAGAAAGCAAAAAATTACCCTCCTGGGGGGATAGCCACGCTGCAATCCCTTCTCCATTCTCCTCCTGGGATCTTGGGCATGCATACATATGCACCCGGAATGAGTTTGAAACCACCAGGCCTGGGACTTGAACTGTGGTTAGCCATGTGGGAGTCCAGCAACGTAATTGCTACACCATTTGCTGGTCTCATTACCTGATTGTTTTCTTCTGCAGGTTTATCAACTTGCCTGAAGTTCCCTTAAAGTATAGTTGCCCTCCCTTGATATTCTCAAAGCTGCATTTTTTTTCATACCCTCTGCAAACTCTTCAGCATTCCTTCCCTGCTTATCTAAATATGACAGGCTTTACCGTTTTTGTTTCCAGTAATTCGTTTGGCTGGATTCAGGAGGCACCAGATCTTTTTAACTTAAACACATTAAATGACAAGTTATATTCTCCTGTTTTTTGCTTTTGTCTGTTGCCATAGACTCTGTATCAGGGACCAGCAGTTAGCATAATGGCTATGCCGCTGGACTCGCATGTAGTTGCCCGCGGTTCAAGTCCCGGACCTGGCAGCTTAAACTCACGCTGGGCGGGCGCGTGTGCGTGCATGCCCAGGATCCCGAGAGGAGGATGGAGGAGAAGGGATTGCGGCGTGGCCATCCCCCCTGGGGGGTGATTTCTCACTTTCTGTCTCTGTCTTTCTGGCGAGTGCCCTATAGCAAAAACCTCTCCACCCCCCCTGTATCACAGTTTTAGACCCTCTACATCCTTCTGTAAGGATGGATATAAGTGAGAGCACATTTTACTGTCCTTTATGAGCCCTTATTTCAATGAAAAGTTTTTTTTGTTTTTTTGAGAGGTTTTCGCTATAGGGCGTGTGCGCTCGCCAGACAGACAGAGAGAGACATAGAAACAGAAAGCGAGAAATCACCCCCCAGGGGGGATGGTCACGCTGCAATCCCTTCTCCTCCATTCTCCTCTCGGGATCCTGGGCACGCACGCACACGCGCCCGGCGTGAGATTTAAGCCACCGGGTCCGAGACGCGAACCGCGGTCGACTACGTGGGAGTCCAGTGACATAGCCATTACGCTAACTGCTGGTTCCCGAAAAGTTATTTTATTATGCTGAAATGTAAGTCATAAAATGTTTATCCTAGAATGTACTTGTTTGAGATATGAATTGCTAGTATCTCTCTTTTTTTTTTTTTTGAGAGGTTTTTGCTATAGGGCACGTGCACTCACCAGAAAGACAGAAAGCAAGAAATCACCCCGCAGGGGGGATGGCCAATCCCTTCTCCTCTTGGGATCCTGGGCACGCATGCACACGGGCCTGCCATGAGTTTAAGCCACTGGATCCGGGACTTGAACCGTGGTCAACTACATGGGAGTCGCACTAGTATCGCAATAACTATATATACTTACAACCAAATACATTGTACATTGTAATAAGCACTACCTATGTGAAGTGGAATTACTAAAACAAACTCTGGGGAACCAGCAGTTAGCGTAATGGCTATGTTGCTGGACTCCCATGTAGTTGACCGCAGTTCGCGTCCCGGACCCAGTGGCTTAAAACTCATGCTGGGCGCGTGTGTGTGCGTGCCCAAAATCCCAAGAGGAGAATGGAGGAGAAGGGATTGTGACGTGACCATCCCCCCGGGGGATGATTTCTTGCTTTCTGTCTTTCTGTCTCTCTCTCTCTATGTCTGACGAGTGCACGTGCCCTATAGTGAAAACCTCTCAAAAAAAAAAAAAAAAAAAAAAAAACAACAACCTCTGAAGCCATGTATTTTAGTGCAATTATCCATTTTATTAGCTTAAAAATTTAGACTCAACTTTATAATGATTATAAATATTGTCTCATTTCTTAAGTCTTATTTATAATTTTAAGGAAATACAGGTTTTAAATGTTAAATAGTTTTTAGAGATCTTTCACCTTTCACTATAACCATTTTTTAAAATAATAATTTATTTAATTTTATTTACTGTTATTTTAAATTTGCTATAGGGCACATGTACTCACAAGAGAAAGAAAGTGAGAAAACAAGCCACCAGGTCTGGGACTCGAACTATGGTCGGCATGTAGGAGTCCAACGCCTTAACCGCCATGCCACCTACTGGCCCAAAGATAACCATTATTAATAGCATTTTGGTAGATAGTCTACTTGTGTGGGTGTGTATACATACATAGATTTGTGTAGAAAAAATTCCTTTGGGATTTTGATTTGAAAGTAGCAATTAATTCCTAAGTTAAGATAGTAAGAGTTGAAGTCCTTACAGTTACTGATCTAGGAACATGATCAGTTTCTCTGGGCTTATAGACTGTGTTTACTTTAAGCAAAGGTGATTTGTTTCATTGCCCCTCTTTCTTGTTTTTCAGTGGGACTGATGAGGACCAGAGGCTCCTGTCCATGGTGCAACATCTTGAGCTGGAGTTGAGTCATTTGAGGTCAGAGCTGTCACGTTGGCAACACCTGAAGACCAGCTGTGAGAAGGTGGATGTGGTACATGAGAAAGTAAGTCTCTTCAGTTTTAACTTTGTTTATAATAGAAAGTAAAAAAACACTTGACTTGATGAATTAAATTTAAGTTGTTTAATTTTAACTTCTTTTAAAATATTTTTAAAAATTGGGACCAGCAGATGGTGTAATGGTTACATCACTGGACTCCCACGTAGTCAACTGTGATTCGAGTTTTGGACTCTGTGGCTTAAACTCAAGCTGGGTACCTGTGTGTGCGTGCCCAAAATCCCAAGAGGAGAATGGAGGAGAAGGGATTGCAGTGTGGCCATTCCCCCTGAGGGGTGATTTCACACTTTCTGTCTCTCTGTCTCTCTGGTGAGCACACGTGCCCTATAGCAAAAATCCCCCCCCCAAAAACACACACACAAAATACCCTGTACTAAAGATTTTTAAACATTTCAAAAACAAATTCAGCATTCTTTAACTGCTGCCCTCCAGGCAACATCACATGTAGACACTTAAGTGTATCTTTTTGTGCGTAGAACCATGTCTTGAGACTTTGAGGGGTAGGTTGTTTTTGTGTATTTTTCACCAAAGCAGCCTCCACATTGCACCCCCAACTTGCTTGGATTCATGTCATTGTCTCTTGTAGACATTGCTCAGGTCCATCCATCCTGAGGCAAAGGAGAAAATCTAGATAAATATAGCTGCTAGAGAATGGAGACAGGCATGTTAATGGCAAAAGTCAAGTCAAAAGCCAGACAGTATATTGGAAAAAGTACGTGCAACAGAGGGTGAAATAATTTCCCGTGTGCAGAAAGCTCCTGGAATTTGTGGAAAGAATAGTGGAGATGGCAGAGCTGTGAGTAGCAGCTCAGGGCTCATGAACTGGATGTGCAGCTTAGGCTGGGCTGCTGTCTTCAGTCTGCAAAGCCGCTCAGAAGATGCTTGCATGTAGTGCTGGTGGGATTTTCTGTGACCACCGACAGACTTTAGGGGAAAATCTTATGATATTAACCAATTGTAAATGCACACATTCTGACTGGCAACCACATTCTTCAGACTTACTTACAGAAATAACCATCCCAGGACACAAGTCTGTGAGGGCACATTGTTCAGTGCCGTGGAGCTCATGTTCGCAGGGGCAGGGCAGGGAGTGAGTAGGTCAAGGCAGGTCCATCTGTAGCACATTGTAGAGTTGTTCTGAGGGAACGAGTTACCACAGAAAGAGCTGTGTTTGCTTGAACTGCTCTCCCACACTACATTCCTTATGATGCAAAAGGAGGAATTTGAATGTATATAATTATGTGAGTGCGTGTAGAAATAATACCCATGGGCACATTTAGCATACAAACTGTCACGTTTTAAGTTTGTCGAATGGCTGCTCCCTTATCAGAACGCATTTGTCATTTGCTCTTCTCCGCACGTGACCTGTGGAAAGTGCTCAGTGTGTGCTGATGGAAACATTGGCCGAACAAAACGGACACAGCCTCTGTTCTCCTAGTTCCATGGGTATAAGTTTAACTGTCCCACGCTCTTGTCTATTTCTGTTCTCCTTTAAATATTCTAACATTTTTAGAGGGATTTTTTTAATATGGAGGGGAGAAATTGTGTCCTATTTACATTATGGATTTTGGGAAGTTACACAATATTTCCAAGGTATCTAAGATAATGGAAGTGAAGAGTTGACATGATTTAGTTAAGGCAGTAAATGTATATTATGTTTACCACTGATTTTACTAGGTAGATGCCCAAATCAGAGAAACCATCAAACTCATGTTTTCTGAAGATCAGCAAGATGGTTCTCTTGAATGGCTGCTACAGAAGTTCTCTTCTCGGTTTGTAAGCAAGGATGACTTACAGATTTTATTACGAGATTTAGAGCTGCAGATACTGAAGAACATCACCTACCACATTTCTGTGACAAATCAGGTCCCAACTTCTGAAACTGTAGTGTCTGCAGTGAATGAGGCAGGGATTTCCGGGATAACAGAAGCGGTAAGTAGATAATGAGAAGTCATTAAAATACAAGTCATGGCTAGGCTGATTATGTAGCTAGTGGATTTTGATGTCTTGTTTTAAGATTAGTCTCACAGGAATGTGGCTCATCTTAAGAAAGGTGATATAAAACATACTCAGTGTGTTGCCAATTATAGAGAAAATAATCGTTCAGTAAGTTTTAGCTGCTGCTGTTGCGATTATTAGTGGACAAATCTGTGAATGCTCAGATCCCTTCAAGTTGACCCTGTGTGTCTGTGATACCCAAGGGCCAACTGTACTTTGTATTTTATGAGTCTTTTTGTCTCAGAGATACCATCTACCCATGCAGTGGCATACTTTCTAAAATTACATAAAAATTTCTCACAGACCAGCAGGTCTTGGTTAGGGCATCAGATTCCCACATGGTGGACCACAGTTTAAATCCCAGACCTGGCAGTTTGCGAATCATGCTAGGCATGTGTGCACGCCTGCCCAAAATCCTGAGAGGAGAATACTGGAAAAGGAATTGAGACATGGCCATCCTCTCAAGGAGGGGAGTGATTTCTCACTTTCCATCTCTCTCTATCCATCTCTGGCAAGTGCATGCACCCTATGGCAAAAACCTAAAAGACACAAACAAACAAAATTTCTTGGTAATACCCAAAGTCTTCAAATTGTAACTTCAAGTTACAGTCCTGAAGTCTCATGTTTGCTTCCCTGACATTTTATGGCACCCAGGGGATTTTCCTAGTTCCAGAATTTATTGTGACTGTGTCTGAGTCCTAAATGGAGAGGCTCTGTACCTCCCAACTCTGTTTAATGGCATTGGCAGTCAGGGTCCAGGACTGAATTACGGAGTTGCCAGAACATCCCCCTGCCTGTCCTCCCCGAAGTATGCTTCATTGAAAGTATTTTCATAGTATAGGTATCTGGTCTTCGTTTATGTAATTTACACCTAAGTCTCTTCTTTCTCATTCTGGCATTGGGTTTTCCATTTTGCCTGTGTCTGTTCAGCAAGCACGTGTCATTGTAAACAACGCTTTGAAGCTGTATTCCCAAGATAAGACTGGAATGGTAGACTTTGCCCTGGAGTCTGGTGGTAAGTAAATTAACGTCCTTAATAAAAATGGTCACCTGTTAGCAGGGGTATGAACCTGAGAAGCTATCACTTACCCACTTCCAAAAGCAGATTTTTATGAGATCTTTCTGAGAAAGAGCATTCTTCTGGACAAGTTCCTAGTGTTCTTGCTTCCTGTTCAGTGTCTGTGGGGTCACAGGTTCTCCCTGAGAAGAGCTTTATGGCACACACAGGTCAGTGGGGCAAAAGCTAGATCAGGGTTTACCACCACAGGAGTTTTGGTTGATTATTTATGGTCTTGTGTGCGACCCCATGACTGCTTGTCTAGTGCCAGCAGTAGAAGCACCGAGGTGACCACACAGCCTACCCTCACCAGGAGCTTCCACTCCAATGAGGGATAAATGATAAACAAAAAAGTAGGCCAACAGGATAGAATGATAGGTGTGCTGTTTTGGTTCCTCAAAGAAGCTTAAAAAGAAAATTGTGGTCCATCAGGTCTGGGCAGTGCTGTCTCCTGCAGGTACACAAGTTTGGGCCAGAACCCCTGGGGCCACACTAGAAAAATCAGAATTGTAGTATAAGAAAGTACTTAGGTCCACAAACACTGCCAGCAGTACCGGGAATAGCACATGGGGTAAAACCTAAGCAGGTCTGTGTGAAGAAATGTGAATATTCATACCAAGTGGGAGAAATAACTATAAATAACATGTCAGTTCAGGAAGGTTTCTCCACTATATGTGTTACAGAAAATCTTGATTTTCTTTTATTTAATTGCCAGAGGGCATGTGTACTCACTAGCGAGAGAGAGAATGAGCACACGCGCGAGCCAGCCCATGGTTACTCCACAATCCTTTTTTCCTCCATATCTTCTTCCCATGGGATGTTGGGGTCAAAAACACATGCCTGGCATGTTTTCAGGTTACTGGGGCCAGGGCTCACCATGGTCTGCCATATGGCATCTGGTGGACAACACCCAGCACTTAACCCCCACTCTGCAGGACTGGCCCAATCTTGGTTTTCTGAATTTTTATTTTATTTATTTATTTTTTATTGCCAGTGGGTACATGTACTCACCAGAGAGAGTGAGAGAAAGCACCTACCACTCCCAGCAGGGCCTGGTCATGCAGTAATCCTTTTCCCTCCATTTCGCCTTTGCATTAGAATTTTTGGCATGCATGCACATGCACCTGGCATGTTTTTAAAGCTTCCAAGGCCACGATTTGAACTGTGGCTGGCCATGTGGAATCCAACTGTCTGTGCACAACACATAAGTAAGAGATATGCTATGGGGCTAGCCCTAGATTTTTAAAATTTAGAGACTCCATGTGAGGGGTGGTAGACTAAGTTATCCCTTAGAAGATAAGGAGATTTTTAATACACTTTAGTATTGGGTCATCAGAAAAGTCAGGACACATTTTTGCATAGAAAAACAGAAAATATGTCATGACTTTTCCAATGACCCAATGTATTAAAGGATTGGGAAACCCTGCAGGGGAAGTAGTATTTTTAAAGAGTTTTATTTATTTTATTTATTTATTTATTTATTTTAATTTGACCAGAAAGAGACAGAGAGAGAAAGTGAGAAAGCAAACTGCTAGGTCTGGGACTTGAATCTCAATTAGCCATGTAGGAGGCCAATGCCCTTAACCATCATGCCAGCAGAGTAGTGTTTTTAAAAACTGACATGGCCAACTACAGTTTGAACCCTGGACTTGGTGGCTTGCTTGCTCATCTCCACCCCCCGCCCCGTCGCTGGTAAGCACACGTGCCCTATAGCAAATTAAGAAATAATAATAATAAATCTTTTTTTTTTTAGAGATTTTTGCTGTAGGGCATGTGCGCTCACCAGACAGACAGAGAGAGACAGAGAGAAAGAAAGCGAGAAATCACCCCACAGTGGGGATGGTCACGCTGCAATCCCTTCTCCTCCATTCTCCTCTTGGGATCTTGGGCATACACGCACACGCGCCCGGCATGAGTTTTAAGCCACCAGGTCCGGGACACGAACCGCGGTCGACTACGTGGGAGTCCAGCGACGTAGCCATTACGTTAACTGCTGGTTCCAATAAATAAATCTTTATTTTAAAAAAACCTCCATCTGATTTAGCTTATCCTAGTAGTTTAGGGAATCTGGTGATACGGTTGGTTAGGAACCTGATTTCCATTATTATTGTTCATTTGTTTATTTATCTTATGAAAGAGAGGGAAAAGGAGATAGATAGAAATAGGTGTTTTCTGTTGCTGCTGCCTTTTTTTTTTTAATTGCCAGAGGATAATTAAAGGAAGAGATGAAAGAAATCAAGTCCACCCCAACCCCACCCCCAAGGTGTGGGTCACACCATGATCCTTCTCCATTTCTCCATGCTGTTGGGCACACATGCATGTTCATCCAGCATGTTTACTGGCTGGGGCCAGGATTCAAATTGTAGTTAGGCATGTGGGATCCACTTCCTTAAGTACTAGTTTATGGGGCCAGCCCAAGATAGGTATTTTTCACAGGATTTCTTTTTATCTCCATCCTCCTATCCCAGCCTCCCATCTAGCTAGGATTCAGGTGCATGCAGCTGCACCCGGCATGTTCAGGTTGGCCTGGAACCAAACGCGGGCCTTGGGCCTCGTGTGCAGCCTTTATCCTCTCAAGCAGCAGCACTGCCTGTGCCTCACGGTGGCTGGACTCTAATCCTCTTTATTACTAAAGCAGATAGATTCAGTTCCAGTCATTTACCATTGTAGGGGATCTTAATATGGTGGGTGAGAACTGCTATTATATAAAAACTACCAGCTTCTTCTGAATGTTAGATAGACGTGTGAGGCTATTAACTGTTCTCAATGTATAGTTTGTTTAACATTACTTTCTTATCATTTATTAAGCGATGTTACGTATTTTTGAAACTCAGTGATTTATGAAGAAATTGTTTTCAATTCAGAGCCATCAGATGACATTTTAATCATGTAGTTTTGGGCTAATAGTTGTCACTTATTCTTAGAACCATAAATAATCCTTACATATTTCTATGTCCTTAAGTTAGAATTCTGATCATCGCAATGAGGCTGAACTGAAGGTGTGATTACTAAACAAAATGCTTATTAACTCTTCATAAGATAAACAAGTCACTGCTGTATACTTAAATAAGGCTCTTTTTGAGAATGAAGATATTAAAAAAAATAATAATTTGGCATGATGGTGAAGGTGCTGGATTCCCACATGGCTGACCATGGTTTGAGTCCCAGACCTGGTAGCTTAAAAATCACGTGTGTGTGTGTGTGTGTGTGTGTGTGTGTGTGTATGTATGCATGCCCAAAATCCTGAGAGGAGAATGGAGGAGCAGGGATTGTGGTGTGGCCATTCCCTCTGGCGGAGGGGATTTCTCACTTTCCCTCTCCCTGGTAAATGCACACGTCCTATGACAAAAACCTAAGTAATAATAATGTAATGGTTTAGGGACCAGCAGATGGTATAATGGTTACATCATTGAACACCCACATAGCTGACTATGGTTTGAGTCCCAGACCTGGTGGCTCAAAAACTCATGCTGGGCACGTGTGCGTGTGTGCCTAAGATCCTAGGAGGAAAAGGAATTAGGCATGGCCATACCCTCCCCCGCCCGGGGTGTGATTTCTCACTTTCTTTCTCACTGACTCTGCCTCTCTTTCTCTCCCTGGCAAGCACATTGCACTCCAAGGCAAAAACCTCTACCAAAACAAGTATTATTATTTAACAGTTTAGAAGTTCAAGTCCCAGGACCAACAGATGGCATAATGGTTACATTGCTGGACTCCCACATAGTTGACCTAGTTGACCGCTGTTTGAGTCCTGGACCTGGTGGCTTAAAACTCACAACGGGTGTTTGAGTGTGCATGCCTAAAATCCTAGAAGGAGAATGGAGGAGAAGGGATTGCGGTGCCATCCTCCCATGGGGTGATATTTGCTTCCTGCCTCTCTGCCTCTGTGTCTCTGGTGAGCACACCACCTTATAGCAAAAAAAAAAAAAAAAAAAAAAAAACCCTCAAAAAAAAAAGTTCAAGTTCCACATAGCCGCATCAAAATCACTTTGCTTTCTTATTTAAAATATAAATTCCCATCCTTGCAGCCCCTCTTTTCCCTTTAGGTGAGAAATCCTAAAGGTAGAGTCTAAAACCCTGTATTTTATATGCGCTCTAAGGGATTATGAGGAATCTAAATCTTTTAGTTTAAGAGGGATTTTTTGCCATAGGGCACTTGCGCTTGCTGGAGAGACGAGAGAAACAGAGAGATGGAAAGCAAGAAATCACCCCCTCGGGGCATGGCCATGCCAGAATTCCTTCTCCATTTTCCTCTCAGCATTTTGGGTGGGCACGCACACACACATCCGGCATGAGTTTTGTTGTTTTTTCTTTTTTTTTAATAATTTTTTTGAGAGGTTTTTGCTATAGGGCATGTGCGCTTGCCAGAAAGAGAGAGAGAGACAGAGAGACAGAAAGTGAGAAATCACCCCCCAGGGGGGATAGCCACACCGCAATCTCTTCTCCTCCATTCACCTCTCAGGATTTTGGACATGCATGCACCCGTGCCCGGCGTGAGTTTAAGCCACCGGGTCCGGCCAGGACTCAAACCACGGTTGACACATAGGAGTTCAGCAACATAGCCATTATGTTAACTGCTGGTCCCTTTTATAAAAAATTTTTAATAATAATTTATTTAATTTTATTTATTTATCCATTTATTTTAATTTGACCAGAGAGCAACAGAGTGAGAAAGCAAACCGCCAGGTCCGGGACTCGAACCATGGTGAGCCATGTGGGAGTGTCCAGCACCTTAACCACCACGCCACCTGCTGGTCCCCCAGCATGAGGTTTTTAAGCCACTGGGTCCTGGACTCGAACCACGGTCAACTCTGTAGGAGTCCAGCAACATAACCATTACGCCATCTGCTGGTCCCATGACCTGCTTCTTAAAATACAAACATTCAAGAGTATTTTTCTTACTACCGATTAATTGGTTGGTTGTTACTGCTTCCCATGCCAGCTTTTTGTTGCGGTGGTGGTGAGGGGTGGGTGGTGGGGAGGGGAGGGTTCTTGTTTGTTTTTTTCATTTTGATCTGCCTTGACCCCAGCATCCTGTCTGCCCTGTTTCCCACTGAAGACAAATTGGACATTTGTAATACTTCTTTTTATTATTATTGAGGTATAATTCACATAACATAAACATCGTCTTTTTAAAGTGTACAACTCAGGGTTTTTACTATATTCACTATGTTGTACAGCAATTATCACTGTCTAGTCCTCTTGAATAGACTATTTCTGTCACCCTAAATCAGAATTCTGTACCTATTAGCAGTCAGTTTTCATTCCTCTAGCATTATCATTTTAGTTGGTAATTTGTCATAATAGTCTATTTATTTTGACCTGTTTAATAGGCTTCATCAAAGTTCACCTGCCGGGTAGCAACAATGCTTCATTGGATTCTTTTCTTTATTCTTTTATTTGGAAAGTGAACAAATTTCATGCAGGGTAGCTGTTCCTCTACTAGTGGAGAGGAAAGGCCTGTGTTTTAAGAGTTTTTCATTTTCAGTAGATATAAACTTATATCCTAACACAATTGTAAACAACACTGAATTTGGAAAAAGTGAAATTAATTAAGAATAGGACTGATTTTAAAATAGAAGGTTCTTTGTACAAATGAAAACTTGAGAATTTAAAGAACACTTTGAATAACTTTCTAAGAGAATGACATTGCTTTCAAAATGAGATAGTGGAACAAATCTGTGCTTTGCTTTCAGGTGGTAGTGTCTTGAGCACTCGCTGTTCTGAAACTTACGAAACCAAAACAGCATTGATAAGTCTGTTTGGGATCCCCTTGTGGTACTTCTCGCAGTCTCCTCGTGTAGTGATCCAGGTGAGTGGGCCTGCAAGGCGGGTCTGCACATGCTGAGGTGGGGCCTCATGATGCCACATGATGATCAAGGCCCTGCCCTTAAGCACTGTGCCCAATTTATTGATGCAGTGTATACAGGTCATAAATGTACAGTTCAATGAACTTTTATAAAATGTATTGGAAGTCACCTTCCTTTTTGAAAAATTTAGTTGTCTTACAGAACCAACTGATGTGAGGGGCTTCTGACTACTTTCTCTGCTGCCTTCTGTTGATTGTTCTCATATATACTGATGTTTTCCCATGGCTTGCTTTATACCAATGTAAAAAACTAAAGGTGGAAAAGCTTAAATTATCATGTATTCCATTTTACCTCAGTACTAAAATGCTGCCTCATATTAGGGACATTTTTGGAAGAATATTCAGATAATTCCTTGTATGTGAAACAGCCAGATGATAGCTATCTGTCACTCAGAAAACATAAGTTGGAGGCCAGCAGATGGCATGGTGGTTAAAGCACTGCATCCTACATGGCCGACTCTGCTGCTTGGAACATGCACCGGGCACGTTGCATACATGCTCAGTATCCTGAGAAGAGAATGGAGAAGGGATTATGGTGTGGCCATCCCCTCTGCGGGTATGATTTCTTGCTTTCCCTTTGTCTCTCTGGCAAGCACATGGGTTCTATGGAAAAAAAAATTCTGGCTCAGCCATGGTGCTGCAGGCAATACAGTGCTACTGTGTCATGCCGGAGCTATGGGGAAAGGCCCAGGATTCAGATCCTAGGCTGACCTGAACACATGGGGCACCCCTACAGTCCGTCTGGCGGGAAGACTGTCAAGAGGATCAAGACCCTGTCAGAGATCCTTGTATCTCTGATGATTTAAATAAAGAACCTTAAAATAAAACAAAACACAGTCCAGTTTTTAAAAATGCATGAAGTAAATTCATCATTAAATATTAATCCTAATGTTTAGGATTCTCTGATACTGCTGTAACAATTATACTGTCTCCTTGGTTACCCTGGCTGAATGCATGACTGTTTGGTTTTCCTACAATTAGCACTTTGTGGACTCGCCAGATTATCTCATACCAATGTAAAAAACTAAAGGTGGAAAAGCTTAAATTATCATGTATTCCATTTTACCTCAGTACTAAAATGCTGCCTCATATTAGGGACATTTTTGGAAGAATATTCAGATAATTCCTTGTATGTGAAACAGCCAGATGATAGCTATCTGTCACTCAGAAAACATAAGTTGGAGGCCAGCAGATGGCATGGTGGTTAAAGCACTGCATCCTACATGGCCGACTCTGCTGCTTGGAACATGCACCGGGCACGTTGCATACATGCTCAGTATCCTGAGAAGAGAATGGAGAAGGGATTATGGTGTGGCCATCCCCTCTGCGGGTATGATTTCTTGCTTTCCCTTTGTCTCTCTGGCAAGCACATGGGTTCTATGGAAAAAAAAATTCTGGCTCAGCCATGGTGCTGCAGGCAATACAGTGCTACTGTGTCATGCCGGAGCTATGGGGAAAGGCCCAGGATTCAGATCCTAGGCTGACCTGAACACATGGGGCACCCCTACAGTCCGTCTGGCGGGAAGACTGTCAAGAGGATCAAGACCCTGTCAGAGATCCTTGTATCTCTGATGATTTAAATAAAGAACCTTAAAATAAAACAAAACACAGTCCAGTTTTTAAAAATGCATGAAGTAAATTCATCATTAAATATTAATCCTAATGTTTAGGATTCTCTGATACTGCTGTAACAATTATACTGTCTCCTTGGTTACCCTGGCTGAATGCATGACTGTTTGGTTTTCCTACAATTAGCACTTTGTGGACTCGCCAGATTATCTCCAGAAGGTGCTTGGCCACTAGCGGAGTAACCGCCGAGCCTATAAATTCACTCCTCCTAGACAGGGGACGCTGACCACAGCAAGCCCAGACAGCCCTGGCACACCCACAGCAGCCTGCTGTTACTAGCCAGTTGGGCTGAGCCTCTCAGGGTGCTGCCTCGGTTCTCTGTTCTTTGCCATTACTCAGAAGTCTTGATATTTTTGACATCCTACAAAATAGCACACTCCATAGCATTGTTGCCATATGTTGATTGGATCTAGTGATCAGGAAGTCCCAAGTACTTAGGTTGTCTTAGAGGTGTGAAAAAGAGAGAGTAGTTAATAAGTCCTACCCTGAAAAGATTCTTTCTGAAGAAACCACATAGTAACTTGAACAGGGAAAATTTAATATGAAAAACTATTTAGCTGTCATGGAATTATCCTAATACCTGATTGGCTACTAGGCAGTAATGAGAATTTTTAAATGTGGATACGAGGATTGCAGTAGAGCACTCAAGTACAGACCTTTAGGTAGAAGCATAGCCATAACTGGCTGAATAGTGACCATGCCAGAAACCCAGCCTCCACGGTGCTAGGAGGTGACTCCCTAGAGGCATTCTGCTACAAAAACCTTCCAGGAGGGGCTCCTGAGGGAATTTGCTGTATGTGCAGCAGGAGCCAGTTGCTGGAATGATTGGACCTGCACAGAAATTTTATTTTTCTGCAGTGTCCCCTCAGCATCTCCCCTGACAAAGCTTCATCTTCAGGCTGGGAAAGGAAAAAGGGCTTAGATCCATTTTCACGACACAGGCAAAAGGATGAATCAGGAGCTGAGAGGCAGTAAGTCCATAACTGACATAAAGAATAAGCCAAAATGTATATGGGCACATCATTCCATCTCTCCCCACCTTTTATTTTTTGGAGAGGTTTTCTCTATAGGGCGCATGCGCTCGCCAGACAGACAGAGACATAGAGACAGAAAGCGAGAAATCACCCCCCAGGAGGGATGGTCACGCCGCAATCCCTTCTCCATTCTCCTCTTGGGATCTTGGGCACACACGCACATGCGCCCGGTGTGAGTTTTAAGCCACCGGGTCCGGGGCGCGAACTGCGGTCAACCACGTGGGAGTCCAGCGACATAGCCATGACGCTAACTGCTGGTTCCCCCCCCCCTTTTTTGAACAGCAGAGTACACACACGCATGCCGTGAACACCCCTCAGTGAGGCCTGGTCATGTTATAGTTCTCTTTCCTTCATTCCTCCTTCCCATCAGGATCCTGGGTACATGTACACATCCACCCCGTGTGTTTTTCGAGCTGCTCGATCTGGGATTCAAACCATGGTCAGCCATGTGGGATCTGATGCCTTGTATACAGTGCTTAGCAACTGTTCTGCAGTCCCACCCCCAGACTTTTCCTTATAGAAGCATAAACACACATGTATTGTCCTTGCCTGTTCCCTTCCTGCTATTTCACAGACAGTGGTCTGCACCGCACCTTGCGTTCTTCACTTGATTAGCACCACATAGGAGCACACTGCCCAGGCTCCGCTGGATGAGACCCCACAACCCACTTCATCCTGTTATGGGTTTATGCCATTAAAAGTACTCTTGCGGATCAGCAGATGGCAGGATGGTTATATCGCTGGAAGCCCATATAGCCGACCACGGTTCGAGTCCTAGACCCGGGGGCTTAAACTTCACACCATGCACATTTGCGTGCGTGCCCAAGAGGATAATGGAGGAGCAGGGATTACAGCCTGGCTATCTCCTCTAGGGGGTGATTTCTTGCTTTCTGTCTGTCTTTCCGGCAAGCACACATGCCCTCTAGCAAAAATATCTCTTAAAAACAAACAAACAAAAACCCTCTTATAATAATTATCCTTATGCCTATGTCTTTTCATGTTTTTGTTTTGTTTTTATAAGTTAATTTGCTTTTCCATGAGAGAGACAGGCGCCTCTAACAGGGTCTTCACACTGCTGTCCACCCTAGTCTTAGCCAGCCTAGCTCTCTGGCATGTGTATCTGCCTGCCTGGCATGTATGGGGAGATTCCAGAACGTGAACCCAGGACCTTTCCCATTTGGGTCCAGTTGCATTATTGCTGCACCATAGCCTGACCCTGTTTTGTATTTGTGCCAGTATATCTTAGGGGTAGATGTAGGATTACCAGACTAAAGGGTAAATGCATAGCAGTGATGCTGCTTCCTGGGGTTGTACATTTTTCACTTGGCCTTCAAGGTCTGAAAATATATATTTCCCTCAAACAGCATCAACAGATTTTGTCAAATTTTTGGATTGTTGTCAATAGGTAAAAGGTAAATTTCTGTCATTTTATTATTTGTATTTTTCTATTATTTAAGATGGAGTACAGCTTCCATGTATTTGAGGACCATTACATTTACTTTTTTCTTTGAAGTGTGTATTCATTATATGTTTTACCCATGTTCCTTTAAGGTTCTGATTATCTTAATTTTTATAAAACTTACATGTTGGAGTTAATCTTTGAGATGTAAGTTGCAAATGTCTATTTCCAGTTTGTCTTTTGATTTAGTGTAATGATTTTTTAACCTGCAATAATTTCATTATTGAGTCTTCTCTTACACTTCTATTTTTTTAAGTGGTTAAGAGCATGTTCAAACTCTTGAATTGTAATATTTTGCCTTTCCCTAGCCTGACATATATCCAGGTAACTGCTGGGCCTTTAAAGGCTCCCAGGGGTACCTGGTAGTGAGACTGTCGATGGTGATCTACCCAACCACTTTCACGCTGGAGCACATCCCAAAGACACTGTCACCGACTGGCAACATCACCAGCGCCCCCAAGGACTTCGCAGTCTATGTGAGTGCATTTGGCGCAAGGCTGTTCTCACCTCTTTCTGGGGATTTCACAGAGAGGAATGACATAAAGGCTAATGGCTCAAGTGTCTTTACAGGGGAGCTGTCTTCTCCTGACTTTTGACACTCTGAATGAGCAGATTCTCTAGAGAAGCAGCCTGATAAATCCAAGGGAGGCAACTTATATGTAGTGTATTATTAATATCATGCCAAACAGGTCAAGCTAACCATGCCTGACTTTGAGGATTTAATTCTTTATCACTTTCATCTACTCACCTATAAACGATGTTCTGGCAACTGTATGAGGTTGAAGAAATTTAATAAAGACATTTTTTAAAGTGTATCTGTAATCCCAGCACCTTGAGAAAGCTGCCATTAATATTGTGGCTTTTTTTTTTTTTTGGGCCCTTTTTTTTTTCTTCTTTAAAAAATATGGTTGAGATGAAGCCAGCAAGTGGTGTGGTAATTAGGTGCTAGATTCCCACATGGCCTACCATGGTTTGAGTCCTAAACCTGGTGGCTTGAAAATCCTGCTAGGCATGTGTATGTGCACTGAAAATCTCGAGAGGAGAATGGAGACGGGATTGTGTGGCCATTCCCCCTGCAGGTGATATCTCACTTTGCCTCTCTCTGGTGAGCACAAGCACCCTATAGCAAGGGGGAAAAATATAGTTGAGACAGTACTCAATACCACAAGCATTTTTACATAGCAGTTAAACTCATTATAGATTTTTTTTTTTTCAATTTGCTATAGGACATGTGTGCTTGCTGGTAAGAGAGAGACCACAGAGAACCAGCAGTTAGCGTAATGGCTATGTCACTGGACTCCCACGTAGTTGACCGCGGTTTGCGTCCCGGACCCGGTGGCTTAAAACTCACGCCAGGCACATGTGTATGCATGCCCAAGATCCCGAGAAGAGAATGGAGGAGAAGGGATTGTGGCGTGACCATCCCCCCTGGGGGGTGATTTCTCGCTTTCTGTCTCTATATCTCTCTCTGTCTGTCTGGCGAGCGCACGCGCCCTATAGCGAAAACCTCTCCAAAAAAAAAAAAGCAGAAGAGAGAAAAAGTGAGAAAGCCCCTCCCCCTCGTCCCCTGGGAGATGGCCCTGCTGTCCTCCCTTCTCCTTGTTGGATTTTGGGCATCTGCACACACATGAACCTGGTGTGTTTTTCAAGCTTGTGGGTCCAGCACTTGAACCACAGTCAGCCATATGAAATCCAGCCACCTTAACCACCAGTGGCTGGCCCTAGACTTCTTTAAGTAGCAGAAAATGCCATTATAGAGCTAATTCCCTTATTTACCTGACCAGTTTTCCTGTTGTGGAAGATGTCCTATCTGTTACATCCTTAGGCCAGACACTCAGAAGTAATACAAGATTTCAGAGGGCATTAGCCTGTTCAGGCTATCAAATCATTGCTTATGGTACTAGCATTTCTACCAGCGATAAATGGCAAATGTGTTTATCTCATAGTTCCCTTTCTTTTTTTTTTAAGAGAGGTTTTTGCTATAGGGCACATGTGCTCGCTGGAGATAGAGACAGACAGAAAGTGAGAAATCACCCCTCAGGGGAGATGGCCACACCTCAGTCTCTTCTCCATTCTTCTCCTGGGATCTTGGGCATGCATGCACATGCACCCGGCCTGCGTTTTAAGTCGCTGGGTCTGGGACTTGAACCATGGTCAACTATGTGGGAATCCAGTGACATAACCACGACGCCATCTGCTGGTCCCAAGCCCTTTTTTTTTTTTTTTAAATGAGGTTTTTGCTCTAGGGTGCATGTGTTTGCCAGAAAAATGAGAATTCACCCCTCAGGGAAATGGTCATGCCACAATCTCTTCTCCTACACTCCTACAGTCTCCTCTTGGGATTTTGGGCATGCGTGCGTGCCTGGTGTAAGTTTTTTAAACCGCTGGGTCCGGTACTCAAACTGTGGTTGACTGCATGGGAGTCCAGAGATGTAATCGTTACTCCATCGGCTGGTCCCCTGAACCCTCTTGTTTCAATCTCCGTTGACTTGATAGGTCGAAGATAATTTTAATCTGCATTTCTCTGTTTCACATGCATGTTTCCTTTTTTGTAGATTTTAGTCTAATTTTTGCTCACTATCGTTTGGAAACTTGGTGTACTTATGAATATTTGGGCTTTTTAATGTGCAAATATTAATGTGTCTTTTGTCTTACAGATATACTTCCCCTCGTCTCGTTTAATTATGTATTTAGTTACCTCTACTCATTACCGTAATTTTCTTCCATGGAACTTTTTTTTTTTGGAGAGGTTTTTGCTATAGGGCATGTGTGCTCACTAGAAAGACAGAGTCAGACAGAAAGCGAGAAATCACCCACCCAGGGGGGATGGCCACACCGCAATCCCTTCTCCTCCATTCTCCTCTGGGGATCTTGGGCACGCACACACATGCGCCTGGTGTGAGTTTAAGCCACCAGGTCCGGGACTCAAACCTCGGTCGACTACATGGGAGTCCAGCCACATAGCCATTACGCTAACTGCTGGTCCCACTATGGAATTTTTTATACCTAGAAAGTTCTTTCCATTATGAAACAAAGACATTGAGATAGTACCCTATATTTTCTAGCACCTTTATTTCTTTGTGATAAAATAGATATAAAATTTACCACTTTAACCATTTTTAAGGGCATTGATCAGAGGCATTAAGTATAATCACACAGTTGTACAGTCAATACCAGCATCCATCCACAGACATTTTTATCTCCCTAATTGAAACTCTGTCTTCAGTGAACGTGGACTCTCCCCTCATACCCCTTTCCCCCAGCCCCTGGTACCTACTCTACTTGTTCGACCCCAACCCCCCAAACCTCTCTCTCTGCTGTTTTCTCTGGCTTCTCTTCTGCTCACCGGTTCTCATTACCCACCAGGCTGGAACCTTGAGGGCAGAGTGGTTCCTGCAGGTTTGAACGTGGTCTGTACAGATAGTCTCTGCTACATGTTAGCTGTGTTCTTTTACCCTCGGTTTTATCTGTATAATGGGAGGAATCTTATCTATCTCATTGTTGTGGACTATGTAAAGTCTTTAACAAGATGCCCACCACCCTCTCAAGAGAAGCCTTCTCCCTACATTATGGAGAAGTGATTTTCCCTAACTGGTATTGAAAGGGAAGAATCCTAATCACCTCACTGTGTTTTTCTGTTATGTATTGACTCCATGGTCTTGGTTTCAGGGATTAGAGAATGAGTATCAAGAAGAAGGGCAGCTTCTGGGACAGTTTATGTATGACCAAGAAGGGGAATCACTCCAGATGTTCCACACACTGGTCAGTACGGTGGTTTACACTTACCTGTTTGTTCTCATTTTCTGTATCAGCAGCACCCAGCTAATGTCAGATTTGTGGGAAGTATTCAATAGCAGGCAGATCCACCTTTGAGAAAAGTTCATCTAAGTTTTCTAGCTTTGCTTTTCTCAGTGAGCTATGCATTGCTCAGCTGTCTCACAGGCCTTGAAACTAAAAGTCAGTGCATGTCTAATAATAACATTCTTAGAGTTTTACCCGAGCTTTGTGTCCTGTGATAGATTACATCGGAATCTCATATTTGAAAATGTGACCTCCAATATGGCTGCTTCTCATCAGGTGTCATACTTGGGAGTGATTAGGCTTGAGGTTATTAATATGAAATAATTTTTTTTCCTGTTGGATTTCAGAAAAGACCTGACAGTGCTTTCCAGATAGTGGAACTTCGGATTCTTTCTAACTGGGGCCATCCTGAATACACCTGTCTCTATCGGTTCAGAGTTCATGGAGAACCCGTCAAGTAAAGACACTACTCATCATTTTTGTACATTTCTGTATATACTGGGACAGCCTGAAACACTGGAATCCTTCATGGATGACTCATGTATAATAAGAGGATACTGTCTCTCCTTCAGTAAATGTTACCGACTGCCAGCAGGGGGACGAGAAAAGTTAAGTGATAGATGTACTGGCTTGCTGCTGTGGTCACTGAAACACAGCCCTGTGAACGCATGGGTCCACAAAGACCATCAACCACAGGGTCTCTGGAAATTCATTTGAATGTATGGTTCTCAAAAGACATGTACTTTGTTTTGGGGATTTGTTTTTGAACATAAAGCTCTTTATATTTGTATTTTCTTGACATCAGGAACAAAGCAAATAAAGTTAAAAGGTTTGATGTGTTCGTGAAGCTTTGATACTTAGCCTTTCACTGGCTCTTTTATAGGATTTTTGGAGGGCAGATATATTTCATCTGTTAAATCCAATACATATTTCTTTCAGGGAAAAAACAATGTCACCAAATTTTCATATGTCTAAACTCCTTTCCTACAGGATGGGATTTTCCTTTATTCTGCACCAGTAGTTAATAAATCTCTGGATGAGGAAATTACTGAATTGTGTTTTTTGTTTAGTTGGCTCTTAGTTCTCAGAAATCTAATTTTCAGTCAGGTCTTGTACTAATATCAGTCGAAGAATAGGATGAGTTTCATTTTTTGTTGTAGATTGAAGTGAGTCTGCTTTCAAAGAGGATGGCTTGGATCTAATCAAACACTATAGAGTTCTCTGGTCTTGGCTAGGTCCTTCCCAGTGGGATTCACAACGTAAACAGGAAACCAAGAAATTTTATCTTTCGGGTATTTTAAAATTTTGAATTTTGCAGAAAAGGAAACACTAACATTCTCTAAATCTTTCAGAGTCTGTGTTTTTATTTCACTGATAGTTATCAAAGGAGTTGTCTAGTGTGGTAAATCCATGAAACCATTACCTTTTAGGATCATCATTTTTGCTACAGCAGCACTTTTTACTGGCTCTAGTTGGGATTTGCCTTTTATTACAAGTGTCAGCCATTCTCATTTGATTCTTGTGAGACTCATTTGGTTATAATTAATATTTAATATTTAGACTATTTTACTGAGCAGACTTTATAATGAGACATCTGCAAGGCACTTCATGTTACAGCTATTTTACCTTAAGAATTATTTAAGTTTTATTGGGTTAAGACAGTTTTTGGTGTACCGTATATGTTGTATTTTTCAGAAAAAGATAAAAATGATGGTGCTGACTGGTTTTCTGAAGAGTTTTATGTATATTGCACAATAGTCCTTAAATATTTGAAACTATATAAAATAGCATTTTTTCACTCTTCTTAGAATTGGAACTAATGCCTATGCAGTTATGTTGGATAAAAATGTGTACAGATGTTTCATATATTACAGGTTACATATATAAATCAAAATTTCCTATGTAAAACTAAATTGGGGAGTTCGGTGGAAATATTTTGAATATTATTTATTTTTAAAGATGCAAGATAGGACTTTGTGCAATGTATTTTTGTAAATGCTTTTCAAAATATTTGTCTTTGTAGTGCTTCTTTTGCTGCCACCAAATTGATGCTATTGAGATGTTTAAATAAAGAGTTTTAATTTTTAAAAGTGCATGTGATATTTCAAATGAATAATAAAATCTATTTCTTTTTGCAGCGTGTTTTGTTTCTGCCCCAGGGAAGTGGGGAGGGAATGACTATTAGTGCTGGCAGTTCTATGGCACAGAGCCACTGAATGCTGACCTGCTGAGACCCTACAGTCCCATGGGCTTCCTAGAGCACCCTTTCCTGTAGGGAGCCCACTCAGAAAACCCTGAATTACAGAGATGAAGGTGGTTTGATAACATTTCTGTCTCTAAAGAAACGGGAGCACTGACACTAGCTCATTTGGCGGCCTTCTCTTAGGGTGTCTGCCCTTCCATTTTCACACATGCTAGCATACTTACCATACTGTTCTGCACCTTGCTTTTTTCCAATTATCAAATCTTTGAGCCCTCATATCAGTAAAAAAACTTTTTTTTTTTTTTTTTGGAGAGATTTTCACTGTAGGGCACGTGCGCTCGCCAGACAGACAGAGACAGACATAGAGACAGAAAGCAAGAAATCACCCCCCCAGGGGGGATGGTCACGCCGCAATCCCTTCTCCTCCATTCTCCTCTTGGGATCTTGGGCACGCACGCACACGCGCCCGGCGTGAGTTTTAAGCCACCGGGTCTGGGACGTGAACCACGGTCGACTACGTGGGAGTCCAGTGACATAGCCATTACGCTAACTGCTGGTTCCCAGTTAAAATTTTTAAAAACAGCTCTATGGTTTTCTTTTCAATTTTATGCATGGATGCATCATGTTGATTAAGCATAGCTGGATTTATGGACATTCTTTGTTTTCTTCCCATTATGAACAATGCTGTCTGTAATCAGTATGACACTGGAGATCCTGCAGAACTTTCAACCTACTTTTTAAAAGTTTTATTGCATGAGTGAGAGAACACCCCCAAAATGGTCCTGAGACCACAATCCATCCCCAGTTTTAGCCATCCTGGGGCCACAGGTATAGGCATCCTCTGAGTACTCAGGGAGGTTTCTGGACACTTAACCAATAACCTTCCCACATGAATCTGCCTTATAGAGCTTCATATTTTACTGGCGAGCCACCGTGGGGACCCAAAACGAGGTTTTGAAACTGCCAAGGTAGAAGAGTTGAGCCCTATTTCTACAGTCCAATTGGACCTGTAAACTCTTAACAGAATTTCAGTTTTTCAAATACAACAGAAACAGAGACTAGAGGAGTCCTTACAAGGTCATTATCCTGAGCAACAGGTGACTCAAACAGCAAGGGTAGCCTGTGGAGGAGGCTAAAGGCAGCATAAAACCTCAAAAAAGTATTACTTAAAATTTGAATACTGTATACATCCCCCTCACAACTATTAAACTACACGAC